ATAGCCCCACCGCAGTTTGGGAATCCCATCGCGGCAAAGCCATCTATGATGACCTGCGCGTTTCCCAGGGTCACTACCTTTGGGAGCAGTACCTTGACGATTGCCTTGGCTACTTGCAGGACAACAACCCCCACGGTAGATTTGCCCACACCAAAGTGGTTCGCAACCGACCGGTAGCTGTCCGGCGTTGCAAGCTTCCAGAGGGCTATGGCCACTCGCTTCTCAACTGTGAGGGCTGCTCTCATCCTGGTATTCTGGCGCTTCAGGGCAGGGGACAGCAACTCACAAAGTTCGAGGAAAGTGCCCTTCCGCATGCGAAAGTTTCGCAGCCACTGGGATTCATCCCAGACCTGAAGCACTATACGGTCCCACCAGTCCGTGCTTGTTTCCCGGGCCCAGAATCGACGTTCCACGATATCCACATGACCCATTGCCACCGTGATGTCCTGGGCGCTGGGGCTCGTGGTTTCTGACAGCTCTGTGCTACTCTCCGACTTCAGGCCATCACGGCGGTGTCGTAGCCTCCTCGCCTGATTACTCTTCATCTGCCTCAGGGAAAGGTGTATGATAAGCTGCAAGGTGTTGAGAACGACCAGAAGTGCAGCGATGGTCGCAGCGTGATCCATGATCGCAGTGCTGTGGCGTCCGCGCTCTCACTGACCAGAAAAGTGCGTGAACTGATTTCCTGCCGGCGCTTTCATGGAGGGAGGGAGGGCGTTAGTGACGGACGGATGACGACAAATTTTTCTTACCCAGAAGGCATTGGCAGCTCGACCCAGAATTCCGATGGGCAGCGGGGACTGCGGGAACTGTGGGATAGCTGGCCACAGTGCACCGCTTCCAATATCGACGCTCGCCCCGTTAGTGTGGACTCACAAAGTCGAATTACTGTCCTTAGTGTGTCCTTAGTGTGGACACACACGTTCGACTTTGCAATATCGATTCCACATATTCGATTTAAGTAAAATCGAATTACCCTCGTAGTGTAGACATACCCTCTGAATCTATCTGTCACTATGGGATTACACCAGGGCTATTCACCACTAAAGACTTACTTATGCCCTCAAAATAAGGCTTACGTGAGATTTAGGGTATGTACACATTACAGCTTCGGTCGGTAAGTTATCACAGAATCATTGAATCATGGAAGATTAGGGTTGGAAGAGAACTCAGGAGGTCATCTAGTCCAACCCCCTGCTCAAAGCAGGACCAACCCCAACTAAATCAAGAAGTTATGTCACTCAGGGGTTTGAATAAGCTCCTAAATATGCCTAAGGGTATGTCTACACTACGGGATTAATCCGAATTTAGATAATTCGAATTTGGGAAACAGGTTGTATAAATTCGATTGTGCGCGGCCACACTAAGCACATTAATTCGGTTTTTAACCACATTAATTCGGTGGTGTGCGGCCACACTACCCCATTAATTTTAACCACATTAATTTGGTGGTGGCGGCCACACTAACCCTAATTCGAATTAACAAAATCGATTTTGGCGCTACTCCGCTCGTCGAGGTGGAGTACAGAAATCGATTTAAAGCGCCCTTTAATTCGAACTAAATGGCTCTGTTGTGTGGACAGGTGAAGGGTTAATTCGAATTAACGCTGCTAAATCCGAATTAATCCCGTAGTGTAGACCAGGCCTAAGTAACATAAGTTACACCGACCTAAGTGCCGGTGTGGACAGCACTATGTCAGTGGGAGAGCTTCTCCTGCTGATAAATTTATAGCCGCTTGTTGTATGAGGATTAATTAAATCCACTGGAGAGCTCTCTCCCATCAGCTTAGAATGGCTACACTAGAGAACTTAGCTGCACCGATCCAGCTGCATCACTGTAAGCTCTCTAGTGTAGCCACAGCCTTAGAGAGCCAACACTAGTCTTGTGCATGAGTTACATCTGTCTTAAATTTTAGTCTGAGCTCTTAAATAGGAATTAAGATATTCATTCTGCACTGGGGAGAATTTTGCTGTGAGTGAGCTTTGCTATCAAGCCAACTTCTCTCCATAGGGAATGTAGCACACATAATAATTAGAAAGCTACTAAGTATGGGTAATTATGAGTAAACCTAGACCTGCTGCTGCCCTGTCTTTCAGAAGGCAAGACAATTTAAAATAAAATTTCATATTGGGGGAAAAAAGAAAGGAAAGGAAAGAAAAGAAGAAATTACAGTAAAGTCATTTCCCAGTCTCATGAGCTTCCATATTTCAGTTCCGCAGGTACTCTCAAAAGAAACTTCAAACTACAGGAACATTATAAGATCACTGATGCATTTAAGTGAAAGAAGCTTAGGCTGAAATCCAACATAATACTTAAGCATTTGCTCAATTTTAAATACCCAAGTAGTCTCACTGAACTCTTAACTCAGGTGCTAATCTCCTATCAAATCAAAATTAAAATCAGCTTCTGTATGTTACCACAAACAACCAAAGTAAAATCAATCAAAAGTGGATATGAACTACTACGAAAAATTTAAAATCTGAATCTTAATCCACTACAAAAAATAAGAAAGAAAGGAACCAAGAGTAAATCACTCAAAGTATAATTTAAACTAAGTACAATGTATGTAATGACTGAATAACTGTATATGATAGATTAAACAAGACTAATCTTTAGACTATCATATAACACCAGAAAACCTTCATATGTAAGTACAATCTGAGCATGAAAATGTATTATGTAATTTACTTCAAAAAAGTATTAATAGATTTTGATTAATGAATGATGGGGATCTGTTTGATACTGTTGGTTATATAGTTTCATTGAGATATACATGGGCAGATTATGTTAATATATTATGTTGGCTGAGATAAACCGTTTGTCCAAGGCAGTACTCCTCTGTCAATGAAATATATTCTAATGTCTAAGGCTTTATGTGAGAGATATATCAAAATCATGGAAATACTGCATTTTTCAACACGGTACAAAGTTTGGCCTGTTCAAAATTTTGGAGGCGGGGGTGGGGGGTGTCACTATTTATTCTTCCAGAAAGTGTTTATGTTCTGTGGAAAACCTACAGTATTCATACAAACACTACTGATTTCTAAAACAAAAACTTTTGGGTTTTGCCTGAACATTTTAAACTTTTGGTTGTTGCATGCAGATTTTAAAATTTTGTGGTTTTGACAAAAAAGTTCCATTTTCAGTTACACCTAAAAATGTAGTGAACTATACAAATATTCAAATAAAGTAAAAAACATTCTGATATGCTCATGGATTAAATCAGTGAGTTTACACTGGATTTGCACCAGTGTAACTGAGAGCAGAATTTGACCCATACAGTATGAATGATTGTATTTTAAAATAAATTATATATATAGGTGTAAAGTGTAATGCATATTTCATAAATGTCATAAAATAGACTAAACAACATTTGCCTTCTATTTTACGATATTTAAATATCATTTCTTTCAGAAAAAGAACGTCTGCTCTCCACACTAGGTGAGAATGCAAATGCTCTTATGGTTCATCATTTCTCTTATGTGTGTTCATGTGCACGTATAGAAGAAAGGCCACCATCCCCAAGTATTTTTGTCTGGTTAACAGGCCCAGACAAGTTCTTATATGAGTTTAGATTTTCAAGATTAAATATGGATAATTGAATGCAGATCATTTCCAAGTGAAATGCTCTTTCTTGGATGTGTGTGGAGACATTTAGATTTTTTAAAAAATTCATGGGTTATTTATTATTTTAGAAAAAAAATCATATCCATTTTGCAAAGACTTGAATCTGGTTTAACAATGGAATAATATGGAATAAAGTGTCACAGCCCAGCTCACAGCTTTTCACCCAGGACCCCAGGAATTATTTGGGGGCAGTTTTCTGGCCTATGTTATAAAGGAGGTCAGCCTAGGTGAACACAATGGCCCCTCTACCCTTGGAATCCATGAAACTCTCTCAATTAAAGCCAATCTCTACCCCAGTAACATGCATTTGTTCTTGTTTTTCATTCATTTACTCTTTTAGAGACAAACAAAACCACAGATCAAGCAGGTAAGTCTCATTTTATTAAAATGCTCAGTGTAGACAGACAGAGCTTTGCCATAAATGAAAATAAACTGCTTTATAAACATGAACAGCAGCATATTTTTATTTGAATGACTATTATATGTATTTTATTTTCAATCACTGTCAGAGATTATTAATAAATGGGGCTGAACGCTAGAAAAAGTGATCATACATAGCTGCCTACTTACTAACATCATAATCATTGCTCTGATAGTAGGGACTGGATAGAGATCTCCACTCGTGTCTCTATGCCTTTGTCCCTCTCCTATGCTCTCTCTCCCTGTTGGACATCATTTGAACACACAGCTTATACTAGCTCTTCTAAAACAAAGACTCATAGATCATCTTCTTCACCTCTTATCTCTTCTCTCCATTCAGTCACACATCTCTGACTGCCTTTCAGATACCACTCCAAGGCTGTCTTGCCACTAGCAGCCGCAAAATGAATTTATTTTCCTCAAAATCCCTGCTCTCTTCCTCCCTTCTCTATCACCCTTGGAATGCAGCTTTGTCATCATTTCCTTCTCCTCTCTCTCCATTTTCCCATAGGTTGATGGAGTGGGCAGGATTTGACTATTTAGTGTTTTTCCACAATGACATTGGCTCATTCTACTCAATTTCCATCACCAAAAGCCTTCTCCAGCTTTCAGCTTGACCACCGCAACATCCACATTTACAACCTGCTAGACCCTCACCACATCCCCCCCCCACTTTCCATTGACTCAAATTCTGCTTCACTAGTCACCTAATTTCTCCCCTGATCTAAGTCCACCCTTCTCTTAATATACTTTCATTGGTTTTCCCTATAATCTACAACAAAGATGAGATTGTTGTCCTAAAATTCATCTCCTGTCTGATTTCTCCAAAATAGTTTCTCTTCTCTCCTCCAGCACCTTCTTTGCTCCACCTGCAACTGCAACTTTCATTCCATTTTTCATCCATGATTTCTTCCCATGTGTCCCCTGTGCTTTAAACCTCACAGGCCAACGATGATCCAAAGTGCCTCCACACTATATAACTGCAAGTCTCTTATTAAAACACATTTCACTTCTAATGCCTATAAACCCGAGCTCCACAAAGTAGAGCTGCTTGAAAAAATGGAAACAATTTTCACAAACATTTTTGTCCAATTTTCCCCTTTTTCCATTTATAATTTCTTCACAGTTCTGAAATAAACAAAAAAAAAGACATGATCTGCTCCATCATATAATGAGAAAAAATAAATATTAAACAAACATACATGCATTTAAAGATTAATTGTGGAACTAACTAAGAGGACTCTGCTAAACATCTCTGTCAATCACTCTTTTTGCATAACATCCTTCATCTCTACAGGAAATTGTCAGTGTACATGACATGCTCTTAGTGGCAGGAGCCTCGTTGAGTTAAATGTCTTAAAGCATGTAGCATGCTGTTGGCAAGCTACAAATAATAAAAATAATGACAGAGATCACTCAAAGCCTCTTCAAGTGTTTTGCACTCTATTGTTTGAAATAAATGGCACACAGACTGAGTCGTAAAAACAGATGGCTATTAAATATTGAGTGAGAATTTAGCAGGATCCCTGCTATGCATGTGTAATAGCAGAATTCTCTATGAATAGTTTTCACAACATTTTCCATGGATCACTAACTCTTTGCTCACTCTCTCAGTTCCTATTCTCTCTCTCTCTCTCTGCTGTTCATTGCACTAATTTTACTTACTATTTTGCAGCAATTCAAGACATACAAGAAAATATTGGTAAGAAAACTTGTCTATTTTGTTACTTGTCTTAGAATAAAAGAGGTGAATGTTCTGGTGAGTCTGTCTAGGGCATCTTGAAGGTGAAGCCCAATAAATGTGGTCAAATACCAGCCTGTGAGGCTCTGCTTTTACTTAAGGAACATAAGATCTGCCATACGGGGTCATAGCAAAGGTCCATCTAGACTGCTATCCTGTCTCCTACACTGTCCAATACCAGAGCTTCAGGGGGAGTGTACAGAGCAGCCAATTCTGAGGAGATCCATCCTAAGCTTCCTGTCCTGTCTTCTGGCTATCAGAGATTTAGGGTCACCTCCAGCAAGAGGTTGCATCCCCGACCATCTTGGCTAATACCCGCTGATAGACCTGTCCTCCATGAATATATCTAGTCCTTTTTTGAACTCATTTATTAAATTGGCCATCACAACATACCAGGTTGACTGGGTGTTGGGTGAAAACAGTACTTCCTCTTGTTGTATTGAACCTGCCTATTAATTTCATGGTGTGACCTCTGCTTTTTGTATTTTGAAAGCAAAGCATGTGGCCCATTATCCCCACTATTTTGGGATTGAGAAACATTCTCCTTTGATCATGAGTCTATCTTGCTTAATACAGTGTAACAAAACTGTGGGCACAAATCAATTTTATTTATTTATTTATTACCATAACACCTAGCCAAACTCCACTGTGCTAGGAGCTGTACAACATGTATTAGATGAATTACAGTAGCATCTAGTATCCCAGTCATGGCACTTGCTAGGTGGTGTGTATTATTTGTTAGGTGAGTTACAGTAGCACTTAGTATCCTCAGGCATAACCTAAGAGCCCATAGTGTTCTGTGCTGTACGTTATTTAGTAGGTGTATTATGGTAGTGCCTATGAACCCCAGTCATGGAGCATGACCCCATTGTTCTAGGTGCTGTACAAACACAGAACAAAAAGACAGCCCTTGCCTCAAGGGGATTACAATCTAAGTAAGACAACAGATGTTACTATTCTACACATCATGGCCACTTGGACGTCCATGACAACAGCACAGATGGAACCCAGATCTCTCCTATTTCTATAACACAGGCACCTACTGTTTCAGCTAAACAAATGTCTTCAATAACCGTAAGATGTATAGGGCTTGTGAAATGCAGTTGAACAGTTCTGATTCCATCCAGCAGAAGGCACTGGTGATACACACACACTTGCAAAAACATTAAAATGTTGTGGCCCTGTCTACCTTAGGATTATAGCCTAGATGCTAAGGGTAATGACATCTTTATACTTACACAGATTCAGGTATATAATGATAGGATGTGCCCTAACCATAGTGCTGAGATTATCAATATTAATGCTTGTGACGTTTTGTGTTTTTAAGAAATTATCATTTTAAAACCACGGCAGTCATTGGAACTGCAACAGGGATGAATTTGGCTCATTTAGTTTTTGCAACACTGCTGTTAGGGAGACAACAATCATATGAGCTAACACATTCTACACTGTACTTCAGTATGACACAAAAATTGTGAGGCAGGACTCAACAGTGCTAGACAATAGCACTGGTAAATGATGATGTTTAAGATAAGAACTGAAAACGTTTATTTCTGGTGCCTGATTGTATCAGGTACAATAATTTACGTAAGTTTTATGAGGCTACAACTACAAAAACAGACCTCGGTAGTCACTTTTGGCTGGAGGCACTTTGAATGGCTGAGTTAATGGGGGACTGCACTGCAGACAATTGAATATAAAGATGTTGGGGAAGTATTTATATAATGGAATGAACCAACATTGCTCTCTGCTTTGTGTCTTTGATAGTCACAGCACAGAGATTGTAACATATCATTGTCAATAACATTTATGCCTAGGATTTTCAAGGGAGCTTAAGGAAAATAGGTGTCCAGCTCTCATAAATCTCAGCCTCAGTGGCCAAGCGATTGCCACTCTTCCCGTAAAGAAGCTCTAAAACTAAAAGCTCAGCTCTCACTTAGGTGAGTAGTTCCATTAACTGGAATGGGACTGTTAGCATGGTTAAAGAACTACTAGCACACAGAAAAATTGTATGACTGAGCCCCGTTGTCTAAGCATTGTTTGTACAGAGTTCTCAGAATTTTAAAAACAGTATCAGAAAAGAACTAGTTAGGGTCAGTGACTGGAGTATCCTTCCATTTCAGATCGACTCTCAAAAGAGCTGGGTAAGTTGAATTGTTTTAAATTATCCACTTATTCTTTAAATTAAAATGATAATTATTGCTCGTGCATTAACTAGATTAAACCAGCATGGAGATGAGTGTGCTATAAACACATGAGTAGGCAGACAGAAGATATTTTAAACTCCATTGTATTTCACTCTGCCATAGATTGTCAAGGCAGTAATTGCTTTTTCCTTCTCTAGAATTCAGAAGAGCTCAGAGCTATGCAGGTAAGCTCCAGTGCATACAGTAAACCTGTTATCTATAAATTAGGAGATATTTTCTTTGACAAATTAATATTTGAATTGAAAATCATTCCTTGTGCATTGACTAGATATATTTACAGATGATATAAACATGTATCTCTCAGTCCATCGGTACCTTAAATTCTATTGTATTGACCTGTTTCCCAACAGCAGTAATTATCTGTTAAGCACTAACAACGAGCTCAGTGCTGTAGAAGTACGTGGAAGGTCCGGTCCCTGTCAAGAACAGTTTACAGCTGAAGGCCCCAGTCCAGCACAGTGTTTAAACATGACCATGACTCTAAACATGAATAGCCCTGTTGTCAGTTGTTGGCTATGTGTGTGTTCTCTCTGTGTGGGCTATGTCTGTGTTTTCCTGTGTGCTATGTCGTCACTGCACAGATCGCTGACACAGCAAACCTCAATCGAACTGCTCAATAAGACCACAGACTTGGTTCAGTAGTGAAGACTCTTGGCCAGGTTTATTGTCAATGAAGTACGGTAATAGCACCCGGCAGACTCTATGGGGATATTAAGACATGTATGCCCGTTGCAATGGACTCGGCTCAGTGAGCGGCAGAACTCTCCGCTCCCCCCTAGTCCAGACACCCCCTCTCTGACCCCTCTTTTATACACTGATACAAACACATTACGTATCGCCCCTCTGGCATGGTTAGTTACCACCCTTTACCTCGTACCTATTGGTTCGCTGAAAACATCTCTATCCATCACACTGTCATCCTGACCTTATCATTAGGAGGGGTCAGTGTGTCCCGGTACTATCTTTGGGGAGTGTATTTACACTGTAACCTTGTGTTCCGATACTACCCATCTGGAATGTGTTTACGTGAATACTTTGTGTCTAGGAGTGTTTGTGTTTTTGCAATGCCAGCCCTGTCCTTGCCAAGTTCATGTATTGGATAGTGAACTTGCAAGCAGGCATCTACATTGTAACAGGGCGTGACTTTTCCTCATAGCCTGACTTTTGCTAACTTTCCTTTATAGCAGCAGGGCCTGACTTTAGTTCAGGACATAGGCCTCATACCAGGCCCTTTATTCCAGGCCTTATGTATCAAGTTGTCTCTTTCTACTACAAGCCGCATTATTGGTGCCTAATAAATAGAGAAAAATATTCACACACTACATGTTATGGATAAAACCTAAATGGTACTTATGTCTTATAACAAGATTTTGTGTGTATGTGTGTTTCTGCAACAGCATTTTGCTGTTGTGGGTTAATATTAGTGATGTTTTACCTAAGAAGAAACGTCAGTGTAGAGAGGATGTATGCCTTGCATACTAAGAGAAGAAGGGTCGCCAGGAATAAGTGCGAGCATGGGAAAAGGCATAAAGATGAGGGGGAGAAGAATAAACAGGGAAAGTTGGGGTGAGAATCTGGTGGAGTGAAAGATGAAGGTGCAGAGGCAGGTTCCCTATGCAGAGCCTTGAAGATGTGGATGAAAAGCATGATCCTGATGTGCAGGGTAAGAGGAAGACAATGGAGGGATTAAAGAAGGTGACTGACAGGTGAGGCAGTGAGACACAGAGCAGGTGAGGAGCCTGAATTGACCTCTTCTGGTTTAAATGAAAGTTGGGATGTGAGGTGCAAGCTAGGAAGGTGAGCGAGGAGGAGGTTATGAGAAATGTGGATGCATGAGATGACCAAGGACTGGAGAAGCATTTTACTCATAGGGATGGGCAGGGAGAGGTGGATTGTTGAAATGTGAAGAAAAAACAGACAAAATTTGTCAGCAGGAAGACAAGGTGAAGATAACACCAAGGTTGTGAGTCTGTGCCCCAGGGTTAAGACAGAGCTGTCACCAGCAGTGGAGAAAGGCAGGAGAGTGAAGGTCTTGGGAAGAAGACTGAGTTCAGTTTTAGCCATATGGCGTTTAAGCTGGCAGCAGAACAGAGTGTCTGCTGTGAGCATTCCCAGAGCTCTCCAGGCAGAGTAGGGGACCCGACTGCACCATCTTAAGTGTGCTGCTTGATGCTCCCCTTCATGCTGGGAGCTCTGGGATGGACCATGTGTCTGGAAGATCAAGCCTGAAATAAGTCTCTTATTTAAAGACAAATAAAGCAATTCCAGAATAGAGCTTCACTCCAGGATTAATTCACCCTTTGAGTCCAGTTTTTAAAGCACTTGTGGTTTGTAACATAACACTAGAATTTCACATCCTTCCGGTCAGTTGTGGTGGCCTTACGACGTGGCAGAGCATTGTATGACTCTTGCCTTTAGGTGTTTGTGTGTGTGCGCGTGCATTATACAGCATATAGGGTGCTAAGCATTCTGACCTGTTCCAATGAAGCAGTTGCAGTCAATTGAGCTACTCATATTCTGATGTGCTTTGCTGGGCTAGAGAGCTCAGCACAATTCAGGATCAGACCCCTAGTACTTTTCCTAATGCTTTTTCCATAGCAACACATAGGAAGGATCCTGCTTCTCTTCACTAAAGGGGTGGGAGCATCTGAATGCCACGTCCAGCAGCCATCCAGCCACAGCAGGGCAGGATGGGTCAGAGCGATGTGTTTGCAATATGCTCCTTATTGCTCCTTACTGCTGCTCACAAAGGAGCAGCTTGTATCTCACCTCCAGAAATTGCTTCCTCCTGGCCCAAAGCAAGCAGCTGTCCCTCCCTTGGAGCAAAGACACAACAGCAGGGACCTTAGCCAGCTCCCCTGCTGCTGGAGTATAAGAGTAGGAAGAGTTCCCCATGCCTCTGCCCTGCCCCAGGGCTGGACTTTGCCTGCAGAGTGTGTAAATTACTGTCATACTGTACCCATTATGCTGATGTTTATATGAATTCTTCATTTTAAAATTCATTTCTCCCCCGTTTTTTTTCCCTGTCTCTTCTCTTTACACTGAGGTTCCCTGATTCACTCCTTACTAACCAGGGGACCATTCTGGTTTCTCTCCCCAGTTCCCATCACTCTGGATTCGGATTGCAAACACCCAGAACTCAAACTGTCAGAGGATCAGAAAAGAGTCTGGCAAGAACCTGCATCTCCTGAGCTGGATGCAGCCTCCAGGGCCCTGCTCGTGGTGGGGAAGGAGGGGTTTGTGGCTGGGAGGCAGTATTGGGAGGTGGAGGTGGGGGAGAAACTGGACTGGGAGCTGGGAGTGCTTAGTGAGTCGGCGAGGGACAGAGTGAAAAGAGAGAAGGCAGAGACACTCCCTGAGGAGGGATATTGGTCTCTGAAGAGATCCCAGGAAGACTTTTTTTCAAGCATAAAAAATAAGATTGAAAAGAAGGATATGCCCTATAAAGTGATTGGTGTATTTCTGGATCAGGAAGAGGGAAGAATCTCATTTTATGATGCACAACATATGTCCCTCATCACAACTATCCCTGCAGAGCTTACTAATACAATTTCGTATTACCCATTCCTCAGTCCCAGGAACAACACAGGCGAGCAGAAACCACTCGCAATCCACCCCATCAGAGTCCCTATTCCTTTAAAGCCTCCAAAAAAGGAAAAATGAGATCTAGTTACTTTAGAGAAGTAAAATTCAAAAGGGAGGGGAGAAAGGAATGTAAACATGTGAAACACCAGAAACATAAATAAGCAAAGTAGAAACTGATGAAAAAATAAAACACATAAAACGGAAGAAAAAGGACAAAAACACTTGGGATAGGCTTGTTGACTCAGAAGTCGAAATCAATAAATTCTGAAAGGAATGAGACTTGTCTTCATAGAAATATTTTTATTTAACTTTCGGTTGCATTTTTTTAAAATAGGAAAATACTTTAATGACAAAATCTTGGGGGGATGTGTTGGATGGAGGGGAAATGAAATTGTGATTTGCCAAGCATTGTAGCAATAGTTAGAAAAGACACCATTATGGATGGCTACCCAAAAGAAGAGGATAAAATCTTGCAATTATTCAGTTGCTGGTTAGGAGTTATACAGGAATGGTTATGAAGAAAAATTAAATTTCTAATACAAACCCTCAAAAAGCATATTAGCTTTCCCCTGTGGCATCTAAAGCAATACTAGCAAGAAAGAGTTTGATTATGCAAAATAGAAAATTAAAAAAAATTAAGGTTATGAATAGAGACTAACTTTGTGCCCTCTTGGAAGTCCTCAGATGTTTTCTGCTGCCTTTTTAAGTGGTTAGACCTCAAAGAGTGGTGTTGTCATTATGATGTATTTTTTATTAAACTGTCCATATTTCATTAAACATGGAACCTGCCTCTGGGTGTATTTCCCTGATGGGGATAATTCCCTAACTTTGGCTCTACTGATCCCAGTACATAAATCCGTAGGTACTCCTGAGTCACTACTGTAGCTTAAACAACACAAAATTCATTATATTCCTCAGAAACCTTGAAGTAGTTACTTTATACATGACTCCTGGGCTTCATATTCTACTTTTCCCACACTAGCTCAAGCAGTTTAGGAATTAAGATGAGTCACAAAGTGTTAGGAACTTTCTCAAGAAGTAAAGCCCCTTTGTGTCTTCAAAACACCTGCCCAGTTCATCTCAAATAAACAAAAATAAAACTATTCTACAGGACAAAAGAGAGTAGATTTTAATACTTGTCCTTATAATTGGACTCTCTCTCTCTCTCTAATAATAAAATATATATTTTATATAAACGAGATACCAAGAGGGAGGCAGTATGACCTGGTTAATCAATCTCTGAAGTGGGGTTCATGAGACCTGGTTTCTGTTCTCAGTTCTGCTGCTCTTCTGGGTGACATTGGCCCAGTCACAGTCTCTCTGTGCCTCAGTTTCCCCAACTGTACAGTGGAGATAAGGAAACTGACGTCCTTTGTAGAACACTTTGAGATCTACTGATGAAAAGTGCTGTATAAAAACCAGGTGTTATTGATCTAAACACCAAATACATGTTCTTTTCCTTTTTTATTCTACTTATTTTGTGTGGTTTATTTTCATGCATTATTCTTCCTCTAAGAAGAATCCAAAGCTGCTTATTTCAACGCAACTGAAACAATTCAAAAATACCTGGTGCTTTAAAATCATTTTGAACATCACCTGTCCAACAAATACAACCTGAAATAATCCATTTGGATAATACAGCATCATGGTAGCTGTATACAATTATCATTTAGATTCCTGCACCCTGGCTTTTCAATTATACCAACTTCCTTCCATTCTTTGGTGTATCCAAATAAACTGCCCTAGTAAAATCCATCTTGAAGGATATTTGTTGCTCTTGTATTCAGACTGGGTGGGTCAAGGGGCAGAGATATTTTGAGGAGGCAGATTTACAGAGGTGCAGTTGTGTCAGGAACAAATTGTGGAATGTAAGTCCCCTGGAGGGGCAAATTTGGAGGGATGATTCCCTATCAGCATATTATGGGGTCCAATCTCTTCTAAGGGACAGATTATGGAGTGTAATACCTCTGGAGAGTAGATTATGGGGACATTTCAACCAGAAATACGTTATGAAGTGTAATTCCCGCCTGGGGAGAGATTATGGGGTACAAGTCCCCCAGGGTGAAAGACTGGGGGGAAGTTCCTTTTGAGGGTAGATAATGTTATTAGAACCCTCTTCTCTAGTACATCTTTTGGAGGGCTCTGGCCAGGCCTATCACCCCTGCTGCCAGCAGCTTGCTCGGCTGAGCCACTAGTGGGGTGATATGGGACCCTCATTATTGGGTGGCCCACACTGGGCAGGAGCTGCACCCCCTCTGATCCAGGCCCCTGCAGAGCCTGTAGCTGCCCTGAGGGGCAATGCACTGACAGAGCTAAAGCCCTGCCTGAGTGGAGTGACATCTGAATGCCCTGGAGGATGCGGAGAGAGCAGGAAGGGGAGAGGGTCACAGTATAATTAAGATGGGTTCCTGGGGCCTGCCCTTATTGAGGAGTCATCCCCTAAAAGTTAGAGTCACTCTCCTCAGAGTCCATATGAGGGGTTACCCACTCCCACAGCCTCAGTCCCATCACCTGCAAGTGAGGGCTCTCATGAAATCACTAGCACCACCATAGCTTGGCAGGAAACAGACTTCCCTTCCTGCAAAAATGTTGGAGATTTCAAAACAATGTCCTGACCCACATTGGGGTGACGTTGAGATCTCTCATTTTCCCCCCAAGAGCCAGAGACATACCAGAGGAAGAAACCCAGCCGCCCCTAAACAGTGCACTCACCTGGCATGTAGAAAACGCAGGTTTAAGTCCCTTTTTCATCTCATTCACAGTAGGGACTTGAATCTGCATCGTTCACATCACCCAGTATTTCCCTAGGTATGGGCGGGGGGTGATGCTGGCAGACTAGGTCATATCAGACTGTATTCAGGTCAATTCACTTGTGTATTAATATAGATCAAAATGAGTGCAAATGTAGAAGTGTATTCAGATGTTTAAACTTCATGAAAACTAGTGGAATGTTACCTCTATTGTTTTTACTTGTCCGCTTGTGTGATAATGTAATAGCAAACACTTCCACTGTGTATACTCCTCTGATAAAATAACCCATCAAAGAAAGCTTGTGAAATGCTAATGAAACACTTAAGGGCTTTAACAGAAAATGCTAATTTCAAAGAGAAATTTTGTCCTCCAACCACCATTATGCTTGGTGGTTGGAGGACAAAAGGCTAAATGTATTCCTCACTCATCCTCCTCAAAGGAAAAACCCATGTGGGTAGACAGACTGTCAACTTGTCTTCTGTGAGAAGATATAAATATGGATTCAGAGAAAGATCTTTTATCTCTGGACTGTTTGGACTCTTAGAGGGAAGTATACAAGATGCAAAGCAGAGATCTCCAGAGATAATCAGGGTACGCTGAAATGACTTTTGGGAAAGTGGCAGATTACTACATCTCTCCTTCGAATTGAAATTATAGACTGTGACTCACCTGTTATTATATTTGATCTGCTTTAACCTCTCAATGCCTCTCACTTCCTTTTTTTATCTAATAAAACTTTAGTTAATTTACTATAGAATTGGTTACCAGCGTTGTCTTTGTTGTAAGAGCTGGAGTACCAATTGACGTGGGGTGACTGGTCTCTTGGGACGGAGAGAAGCCTGATGTGGTGTGATTTTAGGTTTAAGTAACCTTTTATCACAAAGTTCAGTTTGTCTGGGTGACAAGATAGACTGGAGACTCTAAGGGGACTGTCTGTGTCTCCACTGTAAGACTGGAATAGTGATCCAGGAGTGTTTCTTACTCGCTTGGTGAAATCTAATTGTAGACTACACCACCATTTTAGGGTATGTGCCTTTGTTTTCTGACAGTCTGCCCTGAGATAGGTACTTAGAGTTGTGAGCTGTTCCAGAGAGCATGACATGGGGCTAATACTTAATTTGTGGTGGGTTCATTCATTTTTAACAGAAATTCCATCCTGGACAGCAGCAACCTACCCAGCAAAAGTTTAATCAAAGTCTAGCCTTTCCCACACAAAGTTTCATTTTTGAGACAACAGCATTTTTTCAACAAGAACAAAAAACATTTTGTCCATAAATTCCCAACAGCTCAAATCAAAGGACCAATAAAGGGACAAGATACTTTCAAATCTTGGGGGGGAAAGGCTTTTGTTTGTGCTCTTTGTTTTGGGGGTTGTTCGCTCTTGGG